ACAGCGAGAGGGAAGGTGTTCGGGCGGCGCGCGATCGTCGGGAAGTGGGATCGAGATGGGAAGGAAGACCGGGATCAGTAAGGTAGGCCGAGAACATATCGTAGGAGTACGAAAGGAGCAGCGTGCGGAATAGAGAACCCTAATCCAATATCCCTCGCATCGCCTCAGGCGGTGGTAGCGCGCGCAGCGCGCGGGCGGCCAGTCGTGAAGGCACGCCGCGAGGCACTCGGTGCCGAAGTGCCGGTAAAGTGACGCGGATGCGTGGTGCCGAGGCCTGGCAAGGAGATCGTGGGGAAGGATGGAGTAGCCGTGGAGGTGAAGTATCTGGAGGCGTCAGTAGGAATGAAGGTGGCGGTCGAAGACAAGGAGAACAAGCTGGCGACGCGAGGTCTTGGTGCGGCGACGCGTGATAGGGGTTCTCGGCGCTAGCCGAGCTCACCTCAACTTGGGCTGTGCACACGAGTACGCTCGGGTGCACTACCACAGGTGGCGGCAAGTTCGCGATGTCGACCTCGACATCGTGATGGCGAAGCTGAAAACAATTAGAGTACAAGAGTGAAGCTGGAAGGGACGACAAGGAAACACGAGGCCGCATAAGATGAAAAGGGCGTGCATGCCCGCTTAAGACGATGGGTGCGGAATGCGCGGGATGAACCGCGACGTCCACAATGCCCGGCTGTGGTACGGGTTCGACTGCATTGCGGACCAGTCGCTGTTGAGGCACATCCACCGTGCAGTGCTGAGGGAGAGGTCGGGTGGTGGTTGCAGGGGCGTCGGCGGCGGCGAGGCGTCGTGGAAGGCGTCTACCATCGATGTCGATGCCAGCCCAACGAGCCCTTCATACGGCTGTGGAGGACGCAGAACCGTCTGCCGCGCATCGCTACTGGCCACGATCTCGAAGCCGGACCCCAACATCTTGCGTGCGTTCTCGACGCGCTCGTGCGGAACCCAGTAGCCGAAGTCGAGTGAGTTGGCGAGGTGGAAGTTGCGCCAATCCGGACGCATAGCCCTCGACGCAGAGATGAAGGCTGTACGGCCCAGGTCGCGTAGGCCGAGGAAGGCGGCCACCGTCGCGACGTCGTCTCCTGCGCGTTCTGGATCGTATAGGTGGTCGCTGAGGCGAGCTGGAAGGCCGTGTGGTGTGAGCGGGAGGTGGTAGACGAGATCGACGTTGTCAGGGATGTACGGGAGCGCCGCAGAGACCTGGAACCAACCGAAATGAGCATCAAAGGTAGCCGCAGCCGCTGTCAAACTCTGGTTCTTGTCACGAAAGAAGAAGAGGCGCAACCGATGCACCGTGTAAGATCCGCGTATTACTGTACCGTCGAGCTCGCGTAACTGATACGTACTATCGGACAGTTGCTTGTGAATGATGTACGGGCCTGACCACGGAGGAATGTCCTTGGCTCCATGTCGGTTCTGCAACCAAGTTTCTTCGACGAGGACATACATGCCGGGCTTGAAGTCGCGGAAGTCGAGTATCGTCCCAACGCGCCTATTCATGTCAGCAATAGCGCGCTCACGCTGTTCGCGGAGGCGGGCCAGGATAGGCAAAGTAGCGTTGTTCCGCTCATAGATCTGGCGTGCTCGAGCGGCAATGAGTGATTCTGTGTCAACAACCTGGTGCCAGTCAATGTACGCCCAGGTTCCATCCTCCATATCGAAAGGATAAGCCGGCTGAATTCCGAACGTCATCCAGTACGGCGAGACACCGGTCATGCGAGACGCAGTGGTGCGGACGGCGAAGAGGACGGAGGGAAGATATCTGGGCCAGCGGCTAGGAACACCCGCTGCCGCTTTGATACAACCGTTCTCGAGCGTTTGGTGCGCGCGCTCGACAACGGCATTTCCCTGTGGATGATAAGCAGAAGAAAAGACGATGGTCATACCATAGCGCTGTGCGAGCTCCTTGATGACGTCGTTCTTGAATTCCGTGCCGTTGTCCGTAGTGATGCGGACCGCAGAGCCATGCCTAGCAATCAGCTCCTCCATAAGAAAGCGAGCCACTGGACGTCCGCAATCTCGGGAAGTGCGCGCGCCTCGGCCCATCCGCCTGCAAGGTCAACAAGGTGCACGATGTAGTTCATGACCCTACCATTCTCCGCAACACCGCGCGGCATGTGGATGACGTCGAGGCCCCATGAACGGAGAAGGCGATCAGGCGTGTTGGTCTTCTCGTAGAGCATATGGTTGCGGCGCCTTGCGTAGCGCTGGCAAGATGTGCAGGAGCGTACGAACCATGCCACCGAGTCGTACATATTCGGCCAGAAGACGCGTTCCGCAAGGCGCTGATAGGTCGCGTCCCGGCCCATATGTCCACACTCGTTATGAGCATAGGCGATGAGTTCGTCGCGCCGAGTCGGGTCGGTGATGACCAGTACCGGATCTTGAACCGTGCCGTCCTTGCGCCGCTGTCGAAATAGTCGTGGCGTCCCACCGGGCGTGAGCGGCGGGGCTGCTGTGAAAAGTGATGCACGGCGAGTGAAAGAACGAACGGCGCGTGCATCGGAACCCTGAAGTCGTACTGGTAGCTGCTGTGTTAGTAGCCAATGAACGATCTCGCCCCACATCTCAGGTGTGTCCTCGTCCTTCACACCAAACTTGTGCCCGATGCACGATATGAAGCCACGCGTATTAGCGCCACGGTTCTCGAATACGGGAT